TCTTGTGGTCCGTGTAGATAGTACATTGGACCTCGTAGAGGTAATGCTGTCAAATCTTGAGGGCGAACACCACCGCCCCCAGTTCTAAATCATGTGTCGGGTAGTTATCCTTATGAGGCTTCAATTGTCTCGAAGCATAAAATATCACATGCCCCAGCTGCATCAACATTGCTCCCATACCCATGATCGAAGCATCACAGTAGACTACAAAGTCATCTACTCCCTCTAGTAGGGTGAGAATCAGCGCCTCGCACAGTCGCTGCCTGAGCGTCTAAAACGCTACCTTCTACTCATGACCCCAGTGAAACACTACCGACTTCTTGGTCAGTCGGGTCAGCGGAACTGCTTTCTTGGAGAAATCCTGGATGAATCTCTTGTAGTACCCTGCCAAACCCTGGAAGCTCCGAATTTCATATGGAGACCTCAGGACATCCCACTGCATCACAACCTATATCTTAGCCGGATCGACTAATATACCATTTTGGTTGACAATGTGCCCCAGAAACTATACCTCACACAACCAGAACTCGCATTTGGAGAACTTTGCAAAAAGTTTCTCCCTCCTCAAGGTCTCTAGCACCTCCCTTAGGTGTTCCTCGTGCTGCTCCTCATCCTTGGAATAAACCAAGATGTCATCAATAAATACTATGACAGACCGATCCAACATCGGTCTGCACATGCGATTATTGATATCCATGAATGCGGTTGCAGCATTAGTGAGAGCAACCGGCATCACCACAAACTCATAATGACCATAACGAGTCCTAAAAGTGGTCTTCTACACATCATCGTCTCTGACCCACATCTGGTGATATTCGAACCTTAAATCAATCTTGGAAAACCAAGATGCTCCCTGAAGTTGGTCGAACAAATCATCTATCCTCGGGAGTGGGTAACGGTTCTTTAGCATTACCTTATTCAACTCTTAGTAATCTATACACATACCGTACGACCCATCCTCCTTCACAAACAGGATCGGGGCTCCCCATGGAGAACTGCTCGGCCTGATAAAATCCTTGTCTAGTAGTTCTTGTAGCTGCATAGATAACTCATGCATCTCACGAGGAGCCAACTGATATGGTGCCTTGGCTATCGGTGTCGCACCAGGGACCAGGTCAATCCGGAACTCAACCTATCTCTCCGGAGGTATCCTAGGCAAATTCTCCAGGAATACATCTGAATATTCTCATGCCACTGGTACATCACTGACTGTCACCTTACCGTATCCCGGATATCCATGACATACACGGCATATCCCACACAGACCTACTGAATGTGACGTCTCGCTCTCACAGCAAAACAGAAAGTTGGTCCACGCTGTGGCCTTTCGCCATGAATCACTAACTCCCCCCCCCCCCACTGGGAGTGCGAACTCTAACCAGTAGCTGCTCACAATCTATCACTGCCCCATTGGGGCTCAACTAGTAAACACCTACTATAACCTTATTCCCTCGAAGGGGAATAGGAACCAAATCCACTGAGAACCGCTCTTCAAATAACCGCAAAGTACATCCTCTATGAACTCTTGTGACCCTGACGGTCCTGTCACCAACTATCTTAATGTCGAGTGGGCAATCCAGCTTCCCTGGAACTCTGCTAAATCGCTTGCTAAGTATGAGCGACACAAATGATCGGGTAGCCCCCGAATCAAATAATACCATAGCTGAAATGTCGTTCACTAAGAATGACCCTATACACAAACAAAAAAACATGAGAAATAAACAATATCAAATACAGAGATAAGAGGAAAATACATACCCGTCACCACGTCAAGAGCTGCTCGTTGCTCCTCTGCAGTAAGCTGAAAAGCCCTGCTCCGCGCCGTAGGCGCCTCAGCCCGGCCCTGACGGTCATTTGTAATCCTCAATGTGGCAGGAAAAGGTGTTAGCACCTTCCCTTCTACTGCTAAGCTTAGGCACTGGGACTGCTTGTGTCCCTTCTGATTGCACTGAAAGCAAATCAGATCCGATGCTGGTGTGGTTGTGGTAGTAGTTGTACAATCTTGGCTCATGTGACTAGTTCGGCCGCACTTATAACAACCCGAACTCCCTTCCTTGCATGCTCCTTCGTGCATCCTACCACATTTGACATAACAATTGTGGCTCTGCTAGCTCCAAGATTTGTGATCTGATACCTTGGGCTTCTTGCCCGAACTCTCTGTCTGAACTCCCTCTGGCTTCCTTTCCCTCTCCATCTCTAAATCCAACTCCCTTTCTCGAGCCCTCGCTATCATGTCTTCCAGCATCTTCCAGCTAGATCGGCTTACAAACTGGCGGATGTCACTCCGCAACATCTCATGTTATTGGGCCTTTTTCATCTCCTCATCTGCCGCATATTACGAAACAAGGAGGGACCTCTCCCTAAACTTGGCGGTAATCTCCGCCACAGTCTCTATCGTCTGCTGGAGATCCTGAAACTCCCTGGCAAGCTGCTGCACCTCAGTAACAGGTGCGAAATCGGCTCTGAACCTGGTCGTAAAATCACTCCAAGTTATAGCATCCAACACAGTGTCATCTCCAATGGCTCCCCCGACCTCCTCACACCAGTCACGTTCCCTTCCCTTCAGAAGACAGGACGGGAGCCTAACATTGTCCCCCTCAGGATACCTGCTGGTGCGGAATGCATTGGCGAAGTCTGCCAACCATCTGGTACTAGCAATGGGGGTCTCAATCCCCCTCATAATTAGGATCTCCAAATGCCCTAAACTCTCTGAACGTGAGCGTGCGCGACCCCATCATGGTCGCCACCTTAAGGTCCAGAATACCCTCCTTGATCGAACCGAAGATCACTGGAGTCTGCTCAAGTATGCTACGCGTGATCTCTAAGTAGATGAACTCCCTAGTCTGCTCATCTAATTACTCAACTCCAGATCCTGAACCTGATCCCTCCCTAACACCTGAACTGTCGACTGCTGGTCTCAGGTGTAAAACCACCATTCTAAAAACACATAATGACAATGTCAGAATACTACTATATGTTGAGGGGTCACATAAATTACAAGTTCCCTGGTCTTTTCTCAGCCTACCTTGATTCGAGTACGGATCCTCTGCTTTCAGTAGTACATGCCCATACTACCTTCCACATTTATCTGTACTTTCTTGAAGAACTGCATTGACTCCACCAAGGCCCTTCTACTGCTACTGATCTCTACTACCCTCATCCTAGGCTTTCCCTAGGATAATCACAACACACTCTTCGCTATCATCTGTATAAGAAGTCCATGTTACCTCCCCTAACTAGCTCGTGAATACTATTACATATCATTAAGAATAGATAATTCTACGAATGAGAAATCCTACCCTACAATGACTGGACTCAAACAAGAGTTGTGCAATAGAGCTAGACCTAACCTTCTGAAATTATTTAATCCTCACAATATGCAATGTAACATATTTATTTAATAGTTAGTAAGAGATAACTAAGACTTCTAAAAGCACAAAGTAAGCAGCATTCGAGCATCGAGTACAAATAATAAAGCATATACTACTCTGGCTATCATACTGATAATTCTGTAGTAACATGTAGTTCTCATAAAGATGGAATATATATAATAGGCACACATAAACGAGCATACATCGGGCTTCCATCGGAACACATTACACATATCATATAACACATGATGAGAATAAAACTCTAGATCAATTAGATCTTTCACATGTATGAATATGAAAATCAAACAAGACAAATATAGTAAGAGAATGAAGACAGAATAGAATCAAATATGTGCTTATGATTCAAAGAAGTCACGCCTCAGCAGAGCTCGATGAAGAACTTCCACTGTAGAGGCGAGCTAGGGTTTACAAAACTCAAAGAGAAAAATTATGAAAAGCGTTTTATACAAAGACTGCATGCATGCAGCTTATATACTAAACCCTAGAACAAAATGTGCACAATTGGACAGGCCCAATACCGGCAATCAAAACTGGGCCAAGAACCGAGCCTATGATGCAACATAATAATCCCAACAATTTCCCCCATTTGCGTCAAATGAGGCAAGAGATTATTTCTTTTGTGTTGGCTTCACTGTCTTTATTACTTTGAACAGCCGCAGAATTATTGCAAGAAGTGTCTGCCGAAATTGGATATACCATCTTAGCATATCAGTGAACAACTTCTTGTCAACTGCACTGTTCTGATCACACCTGTGAATGATCTCCAAGATATGCTCCAAGAAAGAAGTTGAGAAGAGGTGTTTGTCAACGAGAGCGAACAGACATTTCTGACCTTCGCCCCTGATGAACAGAACAGTGTTGTACTTTGAATCAATATTCCCTTTGACCATTGTGTTGACATTGCCTGCTTTTCCCATAGTCTTGATCGTGGTTCACTTGTGAATGTCAGAGGCAATCTCCTGGTCCATCTTCGCTACCTCGTGAATGTAGCACACAAGCATTCGCTTGACATGGTCAATTATTGGCTGGTACTCCTGAGGATTTGACAATAAGATATTGTTGAGGAGTATACAGTTGTGGGGGTTAAGGTTCAGTAGATCAGCAAGGGTGAAGTCGTCAACTGAGCCTTCAGTGCCTCGAGTCACTTTGAATTTAATGTTAATAAACTTCCCCGCTGAGTAGGGCTTCAAAACCTTGACAGTAGTAATCTTCTTCAAACTCCAGGGAAGATGCACTCATTCTTGGAAGAACCAAATCCAACTTAACCAAAGATGGGTAGAATTTAAGGAGAAGGTAAGAGAAGCAATGGGAAGATGCACTCATTCTTGGAAGAACCGATGACACTAATCGAAATATGATTTGCTTATCTAGTGGGGGAAGCGGTGGTTAAACTGATAGCACCACGTAGCAAATGGATAAAAAAAATTATAAAAAAAATTAAAAAAATTAAAAAAAAATTAAAGAAATGGTTCACTCACAACAAAGGAATTGAAAACCTTCTTTTTATATAATTATATAATATATAATATATAATACTAAAAATTGATGTTTAAGATTTTAAATTTTAAATTAAAGTACGTGTTTCTATATCCATCTTTCTTTTGGCAAATGCGGTAAGTGGTTGAAATTAAAGTAAATTAGTTTTGCTATTTAGAGGAAGGTTATAGTTTCCTTTTCCTGGAACCCCACACAAGCACACACATACACGGATATCCACACACCACCGTCCACCGCTTTTCTTTCTTTTTCTCTCTCTCTCTCTTCTTTTATTGGCTGCGAGACTCTTCATCACTGTTGTCTCCAAGAATCCACCCCAAATCCATCTTCTCCCTTCCAGAAAAGGTAAAGAAAAACCCACTAAAATCTTGATTTTTTTGCCCTAATGGAGATCAAAGTAATAGAAAACATGTTGGTGTCGTTGATTTTTCGTGCGGGGTTCTTTTAGATCTAACAACTTCAAAAAATTGGCTTTTCATGTGGGTTGGTCTTTTTTTAATTTCAGAAATTTTTGTTCTTTCGTGTTGCAGAAGGGTTATCCATGGCGAGAGAGAAGATAAAAATAAGGAAGATCGATAATATAACTGCAAGGCAGGTAACTTTTTCCAAAAGAAGAAGAGGGCTTCTGAAGAAAGCTGAAGAACTTGCGGTACTTTGTGACGCCGACGTCGCTTTGGTCATCTTCTCCGCCACCGGAAAACTCTTTGAGTATGCTAGTTCCAGGTACTGTATGTCTTTTTATTGTATGTGTATATACGTGTGCTTTTAAACCCTATATGCCTACATCACATAAAGTTTCTACTTATAGAAATACCAAGATTTGTGTTTCCATTCATGCAATCTCATTTTTTCCTTTTTGGGGTAGTGGTTTTGTGTGCGGACTGTAGAAGAGGGTACATTTAGGGTTCTGATTTTTACTCTTAGAAACTGCTAGGATTATTAAAGTCGAACCATTCTTAACTTTATAAGATCAAGTTATATAGGTTTCGCATACTTAATATAAATCACTTAGTGCTGATGTATAGAGATCGTTTATTTTAGATAACTTGATGTTAATTTTTTTTTATATATCGAAAGTTTTGGGTTTGTAGTCAAGCTTTTTTCTTTAATTAGTTTTTACATTGAAATACATCTCTATGATGATGGGAGTTTGTTTTCCCGGTTGTTTTCTCTTTCTTGTTTATAAGCATTTTATAATTGAATCGTGAATATGACGACTAATTAAAAACTCATTCACTCCCAGAAAACTAATAAAATAATTTGCAAACATTATTAATCAGTTGCCGTGATCAAATTTTAATGTTTAATAAGAGTACGCCATGACCTTCTAATTGATTGGAGGATACAAAAAAGTGACAACGAAGTGTATGTGAAGTTGCTTACTTTTGTTTGTACTATCTGATAATTATTATTCCCACAATTAAAAGATAATTTGACTTCAAGATAAACAAAAGGGGATAAAGAATCATTTATAATTGAATTTCAAAAATGTTTATACATGGATTATACTATAAAATGCACACAATTATTTCTTACGTTTTCATGATGTAAAAGCTCGATTGTAGTTTGATACGCATATCATTTTCCTTTTCAATAAGTTTCAGGAACCACGTGAAATATTCTTTCTCCACTATTGTTTGCTAGTTTAATAATATTTTCGTTCATAGAAACTTAAACAAAGCCAAAGATAAAACCCTAAGTCTTAGTGGTATTGTAAATCATGCATCGTGTCTTCTTAAACCGACAAACCCTAAACGACTAGCTTCAAAACGAATTGAATATCATTTTTTATTTGTTTTAGTAGATTTGTGTTTTTATGTTTGATTTTTACCCAGACTGAATCTGTTCAAAGTTTTTATTGTCGGAAACATATCGCATGAATGTTTAGGATTATAGTGAAACCTCTATGTGGTTTTTGACTATGTTAAGACATGAATCAAATTTTTGGTAAATAAATAATTTTAAAATAAGCTTAATCGCCTTAACTTAGTTTTATAAATATTGTAAAATGATCTTTGTTTGACTACTAAGATGGGAAACTGTCAAACTGATGTTTACTAAACTGATTATTTTTATTGTTAACTACCATACTTGATTACTTCAAGCCGAACAAAAAGGATCATTTTGCTTAACTTTTATGGTTTGAACTTACTGCAAAACTGTGATTCCTATAAACTTAGAAAACATCGCATAGAAATGGGGGATCCTAAATTTCCAGTTTTATCATTCTTTCCTAACGCCTTTTCAAGCCTTCTTACTCATGTCAGGTATGCAAGAGGTTAATCCTAACAACTAATATAATTCATTTTATAGCGTTCTCCCATCAAACTAGATATATTTATGCTTGTGCCTTTTTAAGGGTAGTTTGCTGTTCAATGTTAATAAATTTCCAGTATCATCAGTCTTTCCTCACGCCTTTTCAAACCTTCTTAGTCAGGTATGCAAGAGGTTAATACTAACAACTACTATAACTCATTGTAAACTAGATATATTTATGCTTGTGCCTTTTAAGGGTAGTTTGCTGTTCAATGTTAGAGCATACGTAGAGCTTTTTTTTCAAAGATTTTTACTATTTGGTTGACTTGTAAAATGACTTAACATCATTGGAAAACATGACTTTTTTCCTAATTTTTATTGAGTCAACTTTAATATGTTTCATTTTATCTCTTTGATTGAGTGTAAGTATTTATTAAACCAATGTATTATATTGTATTTCATTATGACAAAATATCATAAATGGTTCATGTGGTTTCCCAAAATGTGGGGTATAGTCCCTAAGTTTTAAAAATATTATAGATGGTCCATGTGGTTTTAAAATTTTTAACAAATTGTAACGTCCTTCCCATTTTGACAACCAAAAATTTTCATTTTATTTAAGTAAAGCTTCACATTTATAAATTCATTTTGAAGAAAAACGTTTATTCCAAATACATTAATTGAAAATCAGAGTAATATTAAAGCGCAGGATCTTCATTATTGCTGATGAATGTGTATTGTCACACATTCGCCTTCCCATGACGACCGATGATACCTGAAACAATAAAAAACTGAGTAAGCACAAAGCTTAGTAAGCTTCCTCTAAAATACCCCATACGATAAACATACAAGCAAGAATTGGGTCCACTGAGCCATCGGGTTGGAATACCCAGGGTTTGTTGGCCTACCACTTCAACCCAACCGCTCCTCCCAAGCCTCCGTGCTTTTGGCTTACAACCGGCCCACACCGGGTATCTTGGCCTACAGCACAAAGCAGAACCGCCTCAACCCACTACCACCATGTGTCGACATATAAGCAATTAAGGATCAAGTAGGCACAAGTAGGCACAGAATACAGACAAACATCAATCATACAACTCACTATCGCCTACTAATCCTCTTACAGCACACTATCCCGCTACCAGCTAACCTCCATGAAATGTGTAACCATAAGTAACCAAAGATAGCCACCCGAACAGATGATCCTACTCTAGAGCCACAACCAAACGAGGAACAGGCAAGAAAGCCTAGATCAAGAGTTCTCAGACTATCCTACATGACCATATAGAGTCTTTATGACATCCTTCTACTAAAGATAATCAAAACTAATGGGTTGACATTACTCTTCAACCACGGGTACAATGAGATAAAACTCACCTGAATCGAAGAACCTTGAAAAACTGTGATATGCTCTCTTCTTTATTACTTGCTCCTATGAATCCACTCACATCAGAACTAGATAAATTCTTAATCAATGGCCCAAAATCCTTAAGTCCGACCCAAGGTCAAAGTTGGTGAAAAAGTCAACAGTTAACAGAAGTCAACAAAAGTCAAAGTCCAAGGCAATTGAGTACGCCCAGCATACTCAACGTATGGGCCTACACAGTCTGACCCCACTCCTTCGTTAAGCACTTATTTCCTTAAGGGATTTTACCTAAACTCAGATCTAACGTTAAAACGTTGTCTAAAGTTATAAAGTTTCCACATTTATGACTTTCTATGGCTAAGGAAGGTCTAAAAGCTTCAACCCTAACTTATTAATCCATTAAGATATTACAACTCTTGCATGGAAGGATAGAAAGATCAAGATCACATTTTTATGGTTTCTAATAGCTCCATCATGGATAAAGTTTCTAACTTTACCCATTAGTATTGACCCAACAAACAAGATCTAGTCTTTAAGTCTTAAAGAGACTAAAAATGCATCTTTTTCAACTTAATCCATTAAATCCAAATCTTCAACCTTCAGATCTGAATTAATATGATGTTTAGATGGATAAAGTTTCCAATTTTATCCATAACAAGGTCACAAAGTTTCAAGATTTAAACTTTATGCACTTAAAGTGATTAAAAGCTCATAACATCCAAAAATAGATAGATCTAACAATTTCATCATCAAGATTCAAACTTTATACTTCCAAAAGAAAGATCAAGGTGAATAAGTTTTGGATCTACAGATTCCAATGAAACCAATGCTTATTCAATGAGTTCATTCTTCTCCAATGGGCACCAAGACACTCCAAAGCACTTAAAAACACTTTCTATTTGCTTGCAAGGCTCGAACTAGGGTTAGGGTTTTAAGGGAGAGTGTTGGAGAGGTGGATGTTGAGAATGGAATGGGTTTGGGAAAGTTAAGGAGCTTAAATAGGGCTCAAACCACAAAATTAGGGTTTAATCGCCGATCGTGTATGTCCAGCGTACTTCTGGTACGCCCAGCGTACTAGGGATGCCCTAGTATGCCCGACATACGCGGCTAACCCAAAAATCGCCTAACTTCAAATGGTCGTAACTTCTTCTTTCCAATTCTGTTTTCGACGTTCTTTATATCCCACGGAAAGATATTGAAGAGCTCTAAAAGCTTATCTAAATATATTGGATTAAAAACTTCTCAATCAAAATGTTACACCATAAATTTTCAAACAAAATTTTCATTTAAAAATCACATTAATTTCATTACATAAATCACAAAAGCTCCAAAATCTCATTTTTATCAGAACACATGTCCATGACAATAAAATCCAGGATCCTTAAATATAGCACAGTATTGTGTGTACAATCAAGTCGTCGTCATCCTGTGATCCTAAGAAGTACCTGAAACACATAACACGGTAAACACGAAGCTTAGTGAGTTCCCCAAAATACAACACATATTTCATTAGCCTCTCATGGCTATGCTCAAGTAAGACCCTCCGGTCCTAAATCAGTAAGCTCAGAATAATACATAACATAAATCACAAAGATATAATGCAAGATATCTCAATAATCAATATAACACGTAAGACCCTCCAATCACAGAAAGATTACCACTTTAGGTAAAGTATAGTAAGAAGACTCACCTCGAAGCAAGCAAGCAAATACACATTGCACACGAATCACCGATCTAGCCTCCGCCTAACACATGCGATAATTATCTCTAATTAAAATCACAACTCTAAATAAACTCATACTAGCCCCTCTCTAACTCTTGGGAAGGGTAAAAGACCATTCTACCTCTCCCTGTTCTCCATAGCTTACATTTGGTTAAAACCCTAAAAGTTAACACTTAAGTCAACAGTCCATGTTGACATGAGTCACCGAGTGCATTCATGCAACTCGTTGAGTCCCCTTGTTTCCTCAAAAGTCTCACGAAAGTCCAGCTCAACTCGTCGAGTTGACCCTCCAACTCGCCAAGTCATCGCATAATCAGGCTCATCGGGACAAACCCTAACCGACTCGTCGAGTCAGCTCATTGACCTGATGAGTCCCTT